TTTTCATCAATTCAGCATAAAATTCAGGGGTATCAGCAGTGATTTGAGGTCTTTCTCCTTTTAAAATATCTGATATAAGGCAATAATTGTGTGGTCTATCATGAAATGGTTTCTTTCCAGTAGTCATCTCCCACATAATCATACCAAAACTGTAAATGTCTGATTCTTTAGTATATGGTTTTTTTGATAATACTTCAGGTGCAAGGTATGGAATAACTCCAAAGATTTCATCATTTTCACTTATTGTTTGTTGACATAGTCCTAAATCTCCTATTGTGCTAGTATGTTGGCCTGTTTCAATAAAATTACCATTTGTGAAAATATTACCACTGTGCAAATCATGATGAATGTAATTCTTTTCATGAATTTCACTTAATCTAATTCATATTAATAATAATAAAAATCATTATTTAACTATAAATATTTATAATAATAAATCTAATAATAAATTTTAAAACTTACCCAATTATAATATCAAGAATTGATTCAATTTTATCTTTCCAAAGAATTTTTTTAAAATAATTTTTAAGATTATTATGTAAATCACCACGTGTGGCATAACGATTTACCAATAGATAATCATTCTCATTTGGACTTTTAGTAATTCCAAAACATTTGTTAATGCTAAAAAGAAATCTAAGTTCAGAATTTATTTTTAACTAAAAAAAATAATTATAAAATATATTTGTTAATATTTAATAATAATAAAAATTATACCAGATTAATATTTTACCTCTTTTACAATTTCTAAAACTTTATTACTAGTATCATTTAATCTTTTTAATGCAACTTCACTCACTTCACCAAGTTCATTAATCCATGTTGTCTTATAAACTTCTCCAAAACCTCCTTTAGCTAAGTATTCAATGTTACTAAATTCATTATATGGATGGAATCCAGAGGATATTGCCTGAATACCATTCATGTTTTTTGCATTCATAAAAAAATGTAGCTATTTCTTTATTTTCATATTTATCAGTTAATTTTTCAATTTGTTTTACTTTGCAACCATTGCATAATATCTTTTTTTTAATTGCTTCATTAATAATAACAAATTTTCAGCTAGTGTATGGTATATATGTTTTGCTTTTTGTGTATCTTTTTCTTTTTTCAAATTATCTGAGACTTTTTTTAGTTCATCTATTGATTTATTAAAAAAATCATAATGATATTTTTCTATAAAGTTTTTACATCTGGTACAGTTTCCTATCAATTTTAATGAGTCAAATGATTCATTTAATAAAATACTACAAATGCCTATAGTATAATCATTTGGTTTATCATATAGTGTGTTTACTATGTTGTATAATTCATTTAATGAGTTGTATAATTTATTTATTAAATTATCCATTTTGGAAATGAAAAAAATATTTGATGTGTAACTGTTGTAAATATAGCCAATTAAAATTAAAAGGAATTTTGCACACAAGTGTTTCTGCAGAAAAAAATTCATTGATTGGTGGATATAATGAAATGATTGATTTACTAAAATTTCATTATGATATGTACATATGAATAAAGTAGGTTTATTATATTCAGTAATGCTTCATTTTGTATAAGTAAAAACTAGTAATGTTATAATTGTTATTATTATGTTATGAGAGTACTTTTATCTTAAATGACCTGTTGAAGGACAAATAAAGCTCATTGCTAGCTTACTCATATGGAGCTTTAAAGATTTTGTTGGATATATTTCAGAAGATATAAAATTTGATCAATGTAAATTATCCATAAAAATTTTTCACATGAAATGAAAGAGTTTACCCATTAACAACCATTTCTGAAGTAAAATTAATTTTGCAGATAGTCCAGTGTTGTACATGGGACATGTCCGTCTAATATTGAGCAGACATGGACAATGTCCAAAAATATTCGCGTAACAATTTGTCACGCGGACGTGTCCGCCCATTTTCTTAAATGTCCGGGACCAGTACTACAAACCATGAGAAAATGCCTTTATTAACCAATGCAATTCAAAAACATTTGTATAGAATGCGTTGAAAAATTAGGAGAGGAGGAAGAGAAGAAAAAATGGTTTCCAAACAAAAAGGATTGAATAATTCAGCATTTAAAAAAATGTCCTAGTCTTTTTGAAAAACTAATGCTGATGAGCGAGCAAAAATTTATCATCAATATCTGCAATCCAGATCAATCATAGTGTGTAATGCTTGTTTAAATATCTATCTTGCACACTTAAAATTGATTTACTTTTTTTTTTAAAAAATAGATATTCCACATCAACCTTCACCTTGCTCAATTTCTACAACTTCTCATAATATTTTATAATTTCCATTTTATTAAATTAGTGGAACAAAAATAAAAATTATTTGACCAAGTGAAAGAAATCAATCAATCAACCAGTTAATTATAATAATCCAGAGCCTTGCTTGGGAGTAGAGGCAGAAAGTTAATATAAAATTATTTTTTTACAATTAATTCATTTGTAATAAACATTTTCATTATTTAAAACAAGTTGATTCTTTTTTGTTTAATAAAACACTTTTATGGTCGGAAATTAAACAGTAGGGTTTAACCTCCATTTGGTTATCAGAGTGGTTAAAGCAAAGATTTTTTTTTTAGATATTTGTTTTAGTAAGAAATCAAAGGTTTAATTTTTTGGTTTTTGTCAAGTGTAAATGTTTTTGTTTAATTTTTTGTTAATTGACTACCTTATTATAAAGTAATTGTAGAAGCAAAGCAAACAAAAGGAACTCTACAGGTGCTTTATTGCTTTGTTAATTGTACCATAAAGTGTTTACAGATTCACCAAAGCTTTAAGAAAGAGGTAGTAGGTAAAAATTTATATTTTTGTCCCAAAAATGGGTCTGGGACATTTAAAGTGACGGACACAGACACGGAAAGTCTCGGACCGGACAATCCGTGTCCATGTCCGCGTCCACTAACAACACTGGTCTAATCTGTTTTTAATTTTCCTCTGTTTATGAATAAGTTGGTTTTTTCAAACTATTTAGCACAGATTGAAACTTCAGCAATGATACTGAGTTAATGATTAACAGTTCTTATTCATAGTAATACATTTAAATTTATTGCTATATGATAAATCATGAATAATATAAATAATAAATAAATAATAAATAAATAAAATAAATAAATAAGTAACAATCTTTTGATTTTTTTATCATTATCTATTAAAAGTTGTATTTCATCAAATTATTTATATTCTAATCACTGTCATCATCATCAGTGTGTTCATATTCAAATGATGCAAGAGCTGATGAAATATTTAATGACTCAGATTGCTGAATTAATTTACTTAGTGGATGGCTTGTATTGAATGATTCTGGATGATGATTATAATTCTCTGCATCTGACAAGTATTTTTCTGTTTTTATAAGTTCTTTTCGTTTAACTTCTGCTAAATCAATAATCTTTATTTTTTCTATAGAAGGTTCAGAACAGTATTCCCTAATAACAGAACAAAGTTCTTCAGCTGCTGTTGGTCTATTTTCTGATTTTGGATCCCAACATCTTTTCATCAATTCAGCATAAAATTCAGGGGTATCAGCAGTGATTTGAGGTCTTTCTCCTTTTAAAATATCTGATATAAGGCAATAATTGTGTGGTCTATCATGAAATGGTTTCTTTCCAGTAGTCATCTCCCACATAATCATACCAAAACTGTAAATGTCTGATTCTTTAGTATATGGTTTTTTTGATAATACTTCAGGTGCAAGGTATGGAATAACTCCAAAGATTTCATCATTTTCACTTATTGTTTGTTGACATAGTCCTAAATCTCCTATTGTGCTAGTATGTTGGCCTGTTTCAATAAAATTACCATTTGTGAAAATATTACCACTGTGCAAATCATGATGAATGTAATTCTTTTCATGAATTTCACTTAATCTAATTCATATTAATAATAATAAAAAATCATTATTTTACTATAAATATTTATAATAATAAATCCAATAATAAATTTTAAAATTACCCAATTATAATATCAAAAATTGATTCAATTCTATATTCCCAAAGAATTTTTTAAAATATTTTTTAAGATTATTATGTAAATCACCATGTGTGGCATAACTATTTACCAACAGATAATCATTCTCATTTGGACTTTTAGTAATTCCATAAAATTTATTAACACTAAGAAGAAATCTAAGTTCAGAATTTATTTTTAACTAAAAAAAATAATTATAAAATATATTTGTTAATATTTAATAATAATAAAAATTATACCAGATTAATATTTTACCTCTTTTACAATTTCTAAAACTTTATTACTAGTATCATTTAATCTTTTTAATGCAACTTCACTCACTTCACCAAGTTCATTAATCCATGTTGTCTTATAAACTTCTCCAAAACCTCCTTTAGCTAAGTATTCAATGTTACTAAATTCATTATATGGATGGAATCCAGAGGATATTGCCTGAATACCATTCATGTTTTTTGCATTCATAAAAAAATGTAGCTATTTCTTTATTTTCATATTTATCAGTTAATTTTTCAATTTGTTTTACTTTGCAACCATTGCATAATATCTTTTTTTTAATTGCTTCATTAATAATAACAAATTTTCAGCTAGTGTATGGTATATATGTTTTGCTTTTTGTGTATCTTTTTCTTTTTTCAAATTATCTGAGACTTTTTTTAGTTCATCTATTGATTTATTAAAAAAATCATAATGATATTTTTCTATAAAGTTTTTACATCTGGTACAGTTTCCTATCAATTTTAATGAGTCAAATGATTCATTTAATAAAATGCTACAAATGGCTATAGTATAATCATTTGGTTTATCATACAGTGTGTTTACTATGTTGTATAATTCATTTAATGATTTGTATAATTTATTTATTAAACTATCCATTATAGAAATGGAAAGATCAGTTGTAACATGAATCGTGCATATTCCACAAATTTTAATTTACAGTTGGTCAAACCCGTTATACCGTGATTTAATTATAATCGGTAAAATCCATTATATCAAGGGAATTTATTACTCAATCCGTTAAATTGAGACTTCACATCTATCGCATTGTGTTGTTTGGATCAATATTAACAACAATTGCATCAATACTAAATTGTAAAAGTCCATTTTCTATACCATTTGGTAGAGAATCAGAGGCTGACAAAGCTGAAAACAGATTCAATGATTCCAATTCTGATGTACAAAGCTTATGTTATGAAATCGGAGATTTTTTTTTAAAAATATTCAAAAATTTAATGGAGTTTACTGGTTGACATTGGATTTGTCAGATTCATAAATAATTAATCGTTAACGTTATTCATTTATTATGAAAAATGATTTATTTACGTTAGAATGATGATCGCTTTGTATTAATGCAGCAATATTTACAGGATCATATCCCGAAATCATATATAAAAACGAATTAATTATCGTAATAAACAAATCACCAAAAATCTTGTCAATACTCCATAAATTTCCATAACATTAGTACATTATCCAATTCTATGATTGCCACTAGAAGTAAACTTGGATTAAAAGTTTTCTGTATATACATAATACAATGATAAAAACACAAATGCATTTGATGTTATTGATCTGGTATTATTTAGCAGAGATTAAAAATAAAATTTAATATATTTTCCTATGTACGAATTAATATTTGTTAATTAATTGGTATTGTTTTGTGATATGATTGTTACTTAAATAGTATGAAAAAAAGACAAATTCATAAGATTGCTATTAAAAAATTTCAATTCATAATATTAAAAATTACAAAGAACAATGGCCAGATTTTTGACACAAGGCGTTATAAAATCTGCTGAAGTTATTTGATTTAATAAAGATCACCATCAGTGTTGGAAATTCGTCGATCTTATGATCTGCAAAAAAAAATTTGTGCACATATGAACACAAGAAATTTTTAT